CGCATCATTTCTGTTTGGAATACAAAATGAGATGTAAAAGCCTTTTTGTTTCGGCTTTTTAACAAACCGGCTACTTGATCAATAAAATATTAGTACTGACTAAATTCTGCGATTTCAAAATGGAAGTAATAAAGTGGTAATTGAACTTCGTGTCGTGCAATTTTGGTCTGAAATACTGCGCGCTCGTTCGATTTTGAAATCCAGCGTATGATTTCAGACCAAATTGCACTCCACTCAGTTCAATTACTATTATGTATTTTAAGTAATACTGGACACTGTTATCATTACCCAACTCAATTGTCGATTTTCACATATGCCTCTTAAATTTAATTCGAGAGGTAACTGCTTTGAGATGGGACGTCTGAATCAACTAAACTCAACAGTTTCAAGTTAAATACGACTTTTCTTGAATCTGCGACTGAAACAGTCGAAAATTCGACTTAGGTTCAACATTTGATTTAGAGGTCGCATTTCACATATGCCGAATATAATGCATTAATCATAGAAACCTTTATACATATTGGATAAAAAAATATTTCTAGAGACTGGGAATATTTACAACAAACGGAGTTAAATTCGGCACCATCATATCCGACGTCTGAATCAACTGCCGTATCAACTGTCCTAAGAAATTCCACGTTTAAAAGGGGCCTAACATGACATAAGGTTTAGCTAAGTGGTTTGCAGGCTGTTATTAAGTTCTTGTTTTCTTTCCAGTAAGAGCAATTGGCATCTCTCTTTATAAATCCATTTTATATATATTAATCGGCTTGTGCCGCGACTTAAGAATCAGCTGTAACAGTTGATTTTACTTTCTCTTTAACATGATTTGTATATGAAAAAGATAGATCAATTTTCATCGATCCATTTCAATAAAAGCAAATGGAATCACTTCTCACTATAGCGGACAACCTCGAACCGTGACTTTGTCGTATAAATATACAGCACCGACGAAAGACCATAGAGGCTATAGCTTTTAGTTCTAACCAATTCTGAGGGATAGGGTTCGAATCTCCTCGAAGCAAATTTTTCGTAACATTATTTTTTTTCCCTTTTTTTAAAATCTCCTTTTTACTCTCTTTTTTACCTGTGTTGTGCATATAGCTAATAAAATAATGTGGTAAACTGGAAACAAATTTTACATGAATATAAAAAATGCGGTATATATCAGAGCAAGAGAGGATAAAGGAGACAGAGAAGGCATCCCCCATACACACCCTATTCCATGGGTAATTTGTCTCGAGTTATTTTTAAGACCACAGATCCCAAGGGGGATTAGACAACAGCCAATCACAGAGCGCGAATGTTTTCCGCGTGGATGACCCACGCTCAGAGCCACGCGTCTTTCACGAATTGACGCGGAACAAAATAGCTGAAGACGCGGACAGCGATATTGTTATTCGTTTTGTCGACGAAAACGACTACAGAGAGATTTCTACTAAAGCTATGTCAGCGAAACGAAAATTAAAAAAGAATAGCTCTTCCTCTCTTGTATAGAGCTAACAGTACAGCAGGGAAATCCTTAACACGCTGAATATTCTCTCAGGATCATTTATAATTTACAGTTTGAAGAGAGCAATTTCTGGTTTGATATTTATTCTTTTATTAGTCTTTTATTATTTAACAAAAATAACACTTGGCCGTCCTACTTGCTTTATTGTACAAACGACCGGTTTCAATAGACCGGCGAAATTTCTTATTTTATTATAGCACTGAGGTTACGACAACTTAGAGTTAAACTGATTTCACGGGTTGTCAAAAGTTTAGCGACTCCCTTTTCCCAGGTGAGCGCCGACTCATTTCACGTCAATATTCGGGAATGCTCTCGATCTCTTTACGCTTTCATTGCCTTTCGCCCGACATGTTTTGCACGGCGTTTATTCATGCGAAACTTCCACGAAACATCCACGCAGCGCGCGAGGTAATTTTATCCCGATTCTAAAAATAACTCGAGACGAATAACCTATGGAATAGGGTGTGTTTGGGGGATGCCTTCTCCGTCCCCTTCATCCTCTCTTGATCAGAGCGTATCCACCGGTATAGTTCGATAATACTGGACACTGTTATCATTACCCAGCTTAATCGTCGATTTTCACTTCTGCCTAATTTAATTCGAGAGGTAGCTGCTCTAAGATGAGACGTCTGAATCAACTAAATTCGACAGTTTCAAATTAGATACGACTTTGTCGAATCTGCAACTGAAACAGTCGAAAATTTCAACATTTGATTTAAAAGTCGCATTTCACATTTCGCATTTCGCATTTCACATGTGCCGAATATAGTGCATTAATTACAGAAACCCTTATCCATATTGGATTAAAAAAAAAAAGAATCCTAGAGACTGGGAATATTTATAACAAACGGAGTTTAATTCGGCACCATCATATCCGACGTCTGAATCAACTGCCGTATTTAATTACCTTTATCGACTAAAATAGGTGTTCGGCACTCATAACAGATTCCACGTTTGAAAGGGGTCTAACATGACGTAAGTTTCAGCTTAGTGCTTTGCGGGCTGTTATTAAGTTGTTGTTTTCTTTCCAGTAAGAGCAATTGGTATCTCTCTTTATAAATCCATTTTATCAATCGGCTTGTGCCGCGACTTAAGAATCAGC